GACGTCACATGATCCGACAGCGAGGCTCAGGGCATGGAGCTCATGTGCGTCACGCTGGGCGACGGCGGCACCGCCTGGGCGCTGGACGTCGGTGGGAGACTCTTCTTCAGGACGGGAGTCTCCTCACGACGACCGCAGGGGCACGATGACCACTGGTGGCAGGTACACCGCGTGCGCGTGTGGTGCGGGTGTGTTTTAGCGTGATTGATGGCTGCGCGCGGGTGACAACGTGTCACGCGTTGTTCCTTAGGTCAGCATTTCCGACTACGTGGTCTTCGATCAAGGCAGCTTGTTCCAGACGCTTCTGAGCGCCACGCAAAGCGTCGCCACGGTAACGAGGGCACCGGTGGAGCGGGTGGTGGCCTTCCTGTCTCAGTACTCTCAGCGCCAGCCCAGCCTGGTCAGCGCCAACGCGGGCGGCGTGTGGGTGGCGTCCGGACGCAACCAGCTGCACTTGGCCCGCGGCAGCCTGGTGGGAACCTTCTGGCAAAACCTGGTACCCAGAGGGACCGTGGCGGCCACCAGGTGGAGCTCCATCACCTCTTCGGCCTTGCCCCACAAAGAAGGTAAGGAAGGCGCTTGGACACACACACACACACACACACATACTTCCCGAATGTTCAGTGGGAGGTTTTCGTTACAGTTTTAGTTTGGATTATTTTTATTGTTTTCTTTTCAAATCTGTTTAAGCTGAACCCTTACAGCATGATGGACGGAATTCATTGTCAAAGGTGAAAACCGAAGGACATTTTTGCTATCATCGGTTAGTTTTATCAGCGCACAACCTGGTAGGAACCTTCTGGCAAAACCTGGTACCCAGAGGGACCGTGGCGGCCACCAGGTGGAGCTCCATCACCTCTTCGGCCTTGCCCCACAAAGAAGGTAATAAGGCGCTTGGACACACACACACACACACTTGCCGAATGTTCAGTGGGAGGTTTTCGTTTCGTTACAGTTTTAGTTTTGATTATTTTTATTGCTTTCTTTTCAAATCTGTTTAAGCTGAACCCTTACAGCATGATGGACGGAATTCATTGTCAAAGGTGAAAACCGAAGGACATTTTTGCTATCATCGGTTAGTTTTATCAGCGCACAAAGTTGCCTCTGTCAGTTTTTATTGCTTCATTTGGTTTAGGAAAATGTTTTTCATCGAGAGCACGTGTGTTCCAGGTGCCTTCCTGTGGTTGGCCCAGAGCAAGAAGGATCTGTTCTGCGTCTGGGATCAGGATGGAGAACTTCGGCCGTCCACGGTCACGCTGCCGCCGGAGGTCGCTCGCCTTTTCCTGATTCTTTTCTTCACTTCTGCCTTTGGCGCCCTAACGCTCTCCCGCCGTTGTCCTCGTCAGGTGGAGCTGACCCAGCTGTCGGCTTGCCGCGACGCCCTTTGGGGACTGGACACCCACGGCCGGGTGTTCATTCGCACCCTGTCTTCCCCCTGCCCCGCCGGTCTCCACTGGACGTCGCTGGACCTCAGTCAGCTCGGTACGCGTCGCCGTCCCAATACGCTCACGCCGTCTTTACGGCAGCAGATGACAGTCAATTTTTGGCGCGCATTAGGGCCGGGCGATCTGTCGTTATCAATGTCTAGAGAGATGGACATTCATGGTGTGGATGTCAGAAATGACTCGGGCCGGGCGATCTGTCGTTATCAATGTCTAGAGATGGACATTCATGGTGTGGATGTCAGAAATGAAGAGAAGACCAGACTTGAAGTACAGCCTCCTCTCCTTTCGTAACATCAGTTTCCTCATGATTATCGCCCACGTCCTGTGTTTGTTCCTTGAACGCAACCTATTGTATGGGCAGAACGTCAGTTTCCTCATGATTATCGCCCACGTCCTGTTTGTTCCTTGAACGCAACCTATTGTATGGGCAGCCTCAAAACGTGACGCCAGCTGGCACAGTTCACATCGCAGGGAGTCGCCAAAATCAATATCGGGTCTGAGCAGCCCACTGTTAGTTTTTGGAGCATCGTGCCCTGTGCGGGCCTTCGCACTCACACCACGTCATGCGTCTAGCCTCACGCGCATGTACAGAATGGTATGAAACGACACATGCATTGATGGACAAACACATCAAACACTTTTGTTGTCGCAAAAAATTGGTCGTCCTTAAAGCAGAGTTGCACTGGAATGGGAATTGAATTCTTATTATTTATTGCTAATTTTGTTCATGCTGATGATTGGAAAAAAAGCACTTTCCACATCATTTTTGAATTGTTTTGCTTTTTCTTTGAAAAAAAAAAAAACACTCAATAGTCATTGGACCCATTGCAATGCCTTTATTGGCTCGGCAGGTATTTAGTCGTTTGTTTGTTAACCGGCACAAATTGGCCAAGTGCTGTCTGTGTGTTTTGTCCCATCGCCTTTGCTCCAACTTATTTAAGGTCACTTAAAATCATGTGGGCAACTTCTCTCTCTCACACACACACACACACACACACACACACACACACACACACACACACACACACACATCCTCCTCCTTATATCTCACATCACTGGTCCAGCCGCTTGTTTATGTCGCCCCGAGACTGTGACAGTGACGCAGGCGCAGGGTCACCTTTCAGCCCCCAGACCGTCAGAGCCCAGTGATATTTGGAAGATATTTGCCGTGACCGAACACGCCTGTTACCCTCTAACATTTGCTAACACGGATTTGTCTCTGACTGGCTGACATGAGCTAGTATCGGATTCCCTAACATTGACTGAGCCAAGGAATATATTTGACATTAGAAAAAGGCACACTGTCAATACAAATATTTTTAGTCCATTTAAGTCAACACATGCTAATGTCTAGTGAGTAAACATAAGCCACAATGCCAATTATTGTGCTAACGTGTCTGTTCCTGGTTAATCTTACTGAACAAGACTGTTATCTGCTCAGTGAGGTGTTACGTGCTAACAATCGCTTGTGTGCCTGTGACTTGCGAGCATTTGCTAATGCGTCTGTTGCAAGCTAAAATTGGTTAACATGCAATCAGGTATGAACATACATTTTACGTGCCAACATTTGCTAACTTGTCTGTTAGGGGCTAACCTTAACCAACACACGGTACATGTTAACATTGTCCCCGTTGCGTGCTAACTTAGATAACATTTTGCGTGCTAGCTATTACAAACAAAGTACCATTGCCTAACACACTTGTTACTTGCGAATGTGCCTGTGAGATCCTAACCTTTGGTAAGACGCCTGCTGTGCGCTAACATACCTGTTCCATGCTAACACGCCAGGGATGCGCGAACATTCACCAAGACATCTGTTAGGAGTTAACAAAAGCGGCACATTTGATGTCTGTCATATAATTTCGACGTACTTGTGGATTGCTGTGACGTGAAGTCGAGGTGGTGGTTGTTCTTGGCAACATTCCGAGCTGATTCGCGAGAATCCAGATTAGCGGGGTGGCTGTGAAATATGAGTTTGCCCCACCCCCCAAAACAGACTGACCTGGAATCCACTCTGAAAGTCCAGATGCTCTCGTTGCACTCAGGTTCCACCTTACCCTCGAACTCCAGATTGATATCGTCAGTGCGACAGCACGCGCATAGTTTAGAGGGTAAATATATGATACTTATATTGTGTGTCTCTGAGGTAGGAAGTGTACGTTTGGTGAGCATCAGCTGCGGCAGCCAGAATGTTTGGGCTCTCGACAGTCGTGGACTGGTCTACTTCCGGGTTGGAACCCAACCACTCAACCCTAACATGATGCTTCCCGCTTGGATCCACATAGAACCACCTGAGCAGGTAACATACATCCCGACCCTTCTGACCGGAACCAGAGGACACACATCTAGAACCACCTGAGCGGATAGCACACGTATAGAATCACTAGGCCAGAGAACACCCATTTAGTACCACCTGACCACACGGGTTACACCCATCTAGAACAACTTGACAGAACCACCTGCCCAGGTAACAAAGATCTAGAACCCCATTACCAGGAAAATCAAATCTAGAGCCATCCGGACAGGTAATGCAGAGTGAGGACCAGCTGTCCCGGTCAGTCCCATGCAGAACTGCCCATTTCGGCAACATGCCTACGCTCATGGTGAATCTCAAAGTGCTTGTCCGGAACCATCCTTCCAGGTACGCATCAAGAATCACTTTTCCAAGTCACATCCATTGAGAAGCACCTGGCCAGCTATCTTAGAACAACTTGACAAAAGCACCTGATTAGTTCACGCCAATCTGGAACTTGTCCTAGCGTATCTCTCCAGATAGCACAAATGTATCGGCGATTGTGGCAGCACAGATCTAGAACCACCTGACCAGATAACCCCGATCTAAAACCAGGCATCTAGAACTACAAAACCCCTTGCCGAGGTAACACGCGTAGGAGCAGTGACCAGGTTAACGCACATCTGGGACTACGTATGCATAAAAACATGTCGAGGTCAACATACATAGGGCCATCAACCATTATAACACGCATCTCGAAACCGCGTGTGCACGTCATGATGATGTCACGTTCCTTGCAGCCTGTTGGAGTCCAGCTCGTCAGTATTGAGACAAGTCCAAACGATTGTCATCTGTGGGCGCTGGACAACAGAGGCGCCGTCTTTGTCAGGACGGGACTCAGCAACGAGATGCCCGTTGGGACGAATTGGGACCTGGTGCCAGGTCTGTGTGTGTTTTCAGCTCCGCCCCAGCTCAACTCTATGTTGCTTGATCCTTGCCTCAAGTGTCTCTGGTCCTTTAGGTCTGAGCGTCAGTCAGCTGGTTCTCAGTTGTCGGACGGTTTGGGTCCGATGTGTCAATGGAGACTTGGCTCGACGTTACGGCGTCTCCGATAGAAACCCGGCCGGGGACTACTGGAAGAAGATCCCAGGAAACGCCAACTGGCTGACAGGTAAGTCGGGTTTCTTACCAGTCTTACCATCGGGTGCGATGGATCTGAGCCGCTCAGCAGATGTTTGTTGGTTTTGTCCTGAGTTCTTACGGGGGTGGCGAAAGTCTGTCCATTTTGAAAATGTGGAAACTTACAGAGGAATTTGTGGAAATGTATTTCAACCAGGAATTGACTAAATGGAAGGTTGCATCTTAATAGGAGACTCAAATAGAATTGATAGTTTGGAATGACGCTGACTAAAAGAACGAGATTTCCTGCAAACCCCCCTGCCCTTTTTCCTTTCTGTCCACGCAGTCACTCCAGACGACGACTTGTGGGCGGTGACCGCTATTGGCGGACTGGCCCGTCGGATGACAAAACTCCTCCCGCCAACGCCCCGTCGCCCCGCCCCTTCCGGAACAAACGCCGGCGGTGGCGGTGACGATGTTGACGACGAGTGGGAACTCCTCTGACGCCGTTCCGTGTGGACTTGTGTAAGATAGCTGCAAAACATTTTTTTTTTCAACGCTTTCTCATGGAATGCAGCTGAACTGGCGGCTGACATCACTTCCTGGCAAAAGTGTGAAAGTCTTTCCCATGACAAGGATGCCCTTGATGGCCAAGAGAGACATCTTGAACTTGTTCCAAGTGTTTCCAAACTGGTTCAGACAGGTGTCGAAGACGGCCTCTGATCAAAGGAATGTCTAGTACGATGAGGAGTATGACGTCCAGACTGTTGCGTTTCGAAAGGATGGAAGTGATGGGGGTCGGGGGGGTCTAGTCCCTCTGTGAGCAAGCACGCCTTAATGTACTTGAGTGGACTACATATGTACTGGTTTCATATTCAAATCACAATCTGATGGACTAGACACCAGTGGATCGATGGACTCAAGTGAGAGCTAGTGAATTCTTGTAGGAACGGGGAATTTCCCACCTTGGGGCGCCCTTTGTGATTGAACCACAGACAGAGACCGCAACAGACTTGGTGCGCTTACCTGGACACCAATTGATTGATGGACCCAGGTGAACTCTTGGACCGCCTGGCCCGAAAACTCTCACGGAAACAGGGAATCTTCATCCGTGTGTGTGACCTCGAATCACTTTGGTCGACTCACCTGGGCTATTCACTTGATGGACTCAAATGAACACGAGTGGCTTGGGTTTGAACTCTTGGGAGAACAAGGTAATATTGCACCGAAGGAAGTCCCTTATGTATGTACACAAAGGCCACACTCGGACGGACTCGGGTGGACTCTCGCAGCTGCGGTGGACTCGAGACGCTGCTGGACAAGATACGCACTTGACAGCTTCAGCCAACTGACTAGTTTGACCTCGACAGCACTTTCGTAGATTTTGGTGGACTCACCTGGATTTACGCATATGCCCCGAAAGACTCTTGAATTTTTGTGCCACTGCGTGCAACAACACTTGAGTAATGGAAAACGTCCACGATAGACATTAGTGGACGAGTTACACTAGCTACTGTATCCTCTGACTGCAACACACTTGACTAACCATGCTGTAACAAACTTTAATGTTAAGAGATTCTGGCGGCCTTTGCGTCTTAGAATGAGCTGGACTTTACTGGAACGGTTTAAGTCCTGGGTCAGACTCGGATATGAGGACGTGATGGTGTCCTGTTAGGCGACGAGTGGTTGGGAAGTCACCCTTGAACGTATTGAACACAGAAACCCCCGGAGTCCAGCTTCAGTTGAGTGTCCTTCACTTTATTACACGATCAAAATATGCATGGACTCATCATCTGAAGTCAAGGATCACGACGATTACTCCATCTCGAACACCATCGGGTTTCGGTCTTTTCTCTCAGTAAAAAAAATGTCTAGTCCAGCTCACCGTACGACTCGTTTGAGCTGCGACAGACTTCCCGAGAGTCCTGAGAACCTGAAGCAGTAGTAATGGCAGGGCCGGACCGGTCAACCGACCAAACTTGTCCTGTGGACACAGGCTATGACGTCAACCGTAGACACCACGAGAGAACTTTTGATACATTCTGGCAGACTTGACCGGACTCTTAGAATTAGCTGCACTTTACTGCACTGTGAACATTTTAGGTTCTGAGTCGGACCTGGGTATCGGAGTGAGAAGTGATGTCGTCCTCTGGCGTGCTGATTGGTTGCAAACTCACCCGTGAACGTATTAAACACAAAGCTGCTGAGCGCATTGTCTTGCACTTTATTCCAAAATCCAACCCAAAAATGTACACGGGGTCACGAATCATAGAAGTCTTCCGTCATCAAAAACACTAGCATGTTTCACTCTGTTTCCAGGGTAAGGGAAAGTCCAATGTCAGTTCACTGTGCGGTCGCAGGAAAGCGGGCAACTGGCTCATTTGACACGGGACGGACTGGGCTAAGGTCCTCAGAGCCTGTAGCAGAAGCGGCGGCGGGGCCAGACCGCTCAACCAGCCAAACACATCTCGTCCCAAGAGGCTTTGCCAGCGCTGCGGTTCGTCCAGCAGGCGGCACGGCGCCGCGGGTCGCGGCGCAAAAAGCAGCAGCAGGTCCAGGCAGTGCCGGGCGTCACGCCGCTCAGCCGCGCCGGAAGCGGCGAGTCGCAAGAGCGCGGCGTCCAAGGCGTGCGGCCGTGCTCCGCGCGCCAGGAGAAGCAGCAAACAGTCGGCCCGTGACAGTTCCACCGCCAGTTGCACCGCCGTCTTTCCCGCGTCCGCCCCGTGCGCGCAGCCGCCGCAGCTGTTCAGGTACTCCTGCCGCCATCCTTCAGGCGCCGAGTCCTTCAGCGTGTCCACCATCAAACCCAGGATGGTGGTTCGGTTGTAGCGTACCGCCACGTGCAGAAGCGCCGACCCGCCGCTTCGGCACATGCCGCATCGTGCCACGTGTAGCGCCTTGACCGAGAAGCTGCGCAGGAGGTAGCGCGCGTAGTCTTGGTGGTCGTGCACCAGCGCGTACATAAGCGCATCTCCGGGCGAGAAGGAGCGCGGGTGTCCGTCGTCCCACAGGAAAACCTCCATGCTGCGCATGTCCTCCAGCAGCCATGCCGGAAGCTTGTCCCTAACCGCGCAGTAGAAGGCGAAGGCGGTGCGCTCGCAGTACCGCTGGCATGGGGACGGGCTCGGTGGGTGCGGCGGGGATGAGAGCAGCCACGGCATGACGGCGCCACAACACTTTAGGAAGAAACGTCTCGGTGTTGGCCCTGTCACTCCAGCGGGTGTCCCTGCAGCTTTGGGACATTTATAGCTCACAGGCAGGCCACTCCTATGAACTACCCGCTGCCGCCCTCACCATGTGAGGATGTTTGTTTGGGGGCTTGAGAGGGGGGTGGGGGCGGTGCTCAGTGCGTATCTGGCATTGCAGGCATAGCAAACATTGTTACACCTCGACATGATTATCGCTGCATGGCCAGACTGCAACGTGGACGTCAGCCGGACACGGGGGCGAACGTTCCATTGATTTAAAATGGACATTACATAAACATGTAAATGTCGACAAGTGTCAGTCTTCGTAAATGATATTGTACTTAAACAGATGAGAGGTTTCAGTTGACCCTACCTTTCACTCATGGTAGGTCTTGTTTGTTCAATGATTACTTGTTTCAATAAACTAATAGAAAGGGTTCTGAAGTTGGACAGATAAATAAATAATAATAATAATAATATAACCGGTTTTCATCTGCTCTTAACCAGAGTCAACTTTTCGTCGTAGTCGTCCTCTGCATTTTTTTCGGTTGTTGGCGGGTGACATCTACTGGCGAGGTGAAAAAGTGCAGTATTACAACGACAGTTTTACCCAACGGTGATTCAAATCAAATATCTCCAATATATGACTCATTACCATGCAGACAGAAAAAAAACTATTGAACATGAAATATTATAATATAGAAACATGCGAGGAATCAATCAAAGAAAAAATATAAAAAGCAAGGAAAGCATCACACGTCATTTATTCAATTTGTCTTTCTTGGAATGCGTTTGTGGTATTTTCATTTGTTCTTTTGGTAATTCTGACAATTTTTTTTTGTTACAGTAAAGCCAGTGAATATTTGTGCTTGCTTGACATCGCTCTCGTGGATACACTCGTATTCTCTTAAGGCTGTATGATAACCGTGGAAAAAAACAAACATGATTTCTTATTTCACATCAGTGTGTTTAAAGTATTGAACAAGAAAATAAGACCTTTCGTCCAGAATAGCTGGTAGATATGACGTTGAAAAAATAAACTAATGCTCGATTCTTTGGCATTATGCTCTGCTCCTACAACTTTTTTCTCACGTGTTCCTTTACTACGACTTCTTCTTCTACTACTTATTCGGCTGCTCCCGATTCCAACTTCTGGCTCGTGCGTTCCTCCAGTTAGCCCACTTTATCTTAGCTTTCCTGTTGTAGCTAGCCCGCCGTAAAAATCGATTCTTTTGAACCTTTTGTCTCTGTTCAGGCCGAAACGAGGCTTTAAATTGTCTTTCTTCATTCTTAGTTCGTCGTCTTCTACAACACACACAAAATACATCTTCGTCGACTTCTTCTTCGTCAACTTCCGGTCTCGACTTCCGGGTCTACTTTCCTCTGGTTACTCGCTCACTTTTTTTTTTCTTTTTTTTTTAAGCTTTACGGTTGTAGCGCGGCTCGGAGGACTTGGCGTCCAAGTCGGGCTACTTCGACCCTCTCAGCGTCGGTCACGTCGTTGGGCCCATGGCGCCCATGTTCGACAGGAACGCGGAGGCGGCGGCGGCGACGATGGCGGGCAAGAGGCGAGGTCGCGGCCCCGGACCGGCGGTCAGCATCGGCGGGAAGAGCGTGTCCGGTAATGGAAGCAGCGGCCGGGGCTGCTGGGAAGATGGAAGTTCAGGCTCCAGCAGTGACGACGAGAACGGTAGGTAGCCTCGGTCCGAACCCACGTAGAAGAACAAACAAACAAAAAAGAAACATCCTCACGTTGATTTCATTTGAAGTTATTTGCGTTGATGTCTCGGGGATGTACAGGTGGAGGAATGCGAGTTGGATCGCAATATCAAGCCGTGGTTCCGGACTTCGACCCGGGTAAGAAAGTAACGTTTGGATGGGGTAGCCTCGAACAACGCCAGCACACAAACACACACGCTCGCGCTTCGAGCAGTTCGTCAGAACTGTCATGAATACTACATTAAACTACTGCGTAACTGCTGATACATATACGTTGAAAAATGAATTTCAACAAGAATACGGCTTAGTAAGGTTGCCCAACTCTAACATGATGGATGGTATATACTATTCAAGTTACAGTCATTTCATGCCAACACTGTACATGATGTACTTTTGAATATGCTGACATCATGCATCCAGTAGTAATTCTTCTCCAGTACTAAATAATATGCAAACAGTACAGCTAGTACTATTGGATATAATTTGAGGGACCACGATTTGAGTCATCGACAACTAATCAATGGTCAAGTTAACCGTCAACTATTTTGAGAATCATTTCATTGTTGAGAGGCCCTGTTGAACTGAAAATTGTCCAAATACTCAGAATTTCAGTCTCTCAAGAGTAAATATGATCCAACTTTTGTAATTCCCCAGCCATAAATTGAATGAATGGAACAATTGTGACATTTCAAAGTGACAGTGGGAGGAAAAAAATGCACAAACATAAATTGATCGTGAATCAAAAACTGCTCTACTCGGTAACGTTTGTCCGAAACTCTGCAAAAATGTTTAGTTGTTTCCCAAAGTGAATTCAGATGTTAGCAAACCTTTTATTTGGATTCAGCAGAAAGCTCATCTGTCTCCTTTATTGGGAAGACTACAGAAATGTGAAAATGTTTTCTGTTGAGAAGCTCTGCAAATCATGTTTCGTGTGAAATGAACCGGGAGTTCGCAAAATTGAGGAGTGGATCATCATGTTTATTTTTTTTTATTTATTTATTTTTTTTTAATTTCTCTTGTTGGCCAGTGTACTCGATCAGTTGTGGAGTCATCAATTCATTGTCGTGCCTCTTGTAAAGTGTCAGCAAGTAACATGGTGGTCACTAAAGCGACGGTCTGACGCAAGGTGGAATGACGATGGTCACCTAAGTACATGTTGTGTGCGCTTGCAGAGGTGGCGAAGGCGTGTCAGCTGTCTCACAGCGTGGGCATGTTGGTGTGGAGTCCCAGCAACAGCGTTCAGCAGAGTCAACGTAAGGCCACCACGGCTTGTTTTTTTTTTTTTTTTTGCTTTTTTTTCACTCGCATCTTGACTTCATCGGCGCAGTTAACTTGGGCATGAAGTGACACTTGTAATATCGTGCCCTTGTAGGTTTTGAAATACATACACATGGAGCATGATGCAGTGTGAGTCCACCTAAAGATTTGTGTGTGTGTGTTTTTTTTTTTCAGTGGATGAATACATCAGCATCGCTAAAGACAAACACGGATACAACATGGAACAGGTTCGTCTTTCAACTCAACTCAAGTGTATTTCTCGAGCACTTGAAAACAACCACCGCTGTCTTCAAAGTGCAGTACATGGAGCAAAAAGAATTCGTACAACAAAAATAAAACAATACATGAATAACAAAGGCAGTAGAGAGCACAAAAATAGTCAAAGTAAAAACCAAGGCTCGTGCTGAGTCAAAAGCCAAAGAATAAAAATGACGAGTTTGAAAGCTGGGCAGCGAGGGGGCTTGCCGAACGTTCATTCCAAAGAGTGAGACTGCTAACGGTTCTCGGTACCTCGAATAGTGTCCGGTCCGCAGACCCGAGGCGCCGGGCAGGCAGCTCCGAGAGGTAAGGTGGGCTGAGGCCGATTCAAGATTTGAAAACAAATCGAAGGATCTTCAAAAGAACTCGAAAATGAGCCAGTGAAGCGATGCCAGTGTAGGAGTGACCCGCTCCCTCTTCCGAGTACCCGTCAAAGAGGCGAGCAGCAGCATTTTGGACCAACTGGAGACGCTTGATGGAGGATTGGCTGACTCCAAAGGAAAGTGCAGAACAATCATCCAGCTGAGATGTGATGAAGGCATGAATGACTGTTGAGAAAGTGTTCATGAGAAAGGCTCGGCTTCACTTGAGGCAACTGCCGCAGATGAAAGAAGCTGGATTTCACAACGGCACCAGTTTGCCAACATCGCTCAGTCAAGCGGACGCTTCGTCGAAGTGGCACGACAGCATTGACAGATTGGGGAGCTCAGCACATACGCAAGGCGACCCCGCGATATTGGCCGCCCGGTCCATTTTGGAGATAACGGAAGACTTTGAAGTGCGCCTGCATTACGGTGGTGAAAACGCGCTCGTAAAAATGTGACCGGCGGTGACTTTTGCTCGCAGGCCCTCGGCATGCTGTTCTGGCACCAGCACGACATGGAGAAGTCGCTGGCCGACCTGCCCAACTTCACGCCGTTTCCCGACGAGTGGACGGTGGAGGACCGCGTCCTGTTCGAGCAGGCCTTCAGCTTCCACGGGAAGAGCTTCCACCGCATCCAGCAGATGGTCGGCGAGACTCGCCGCCTTTCCGTCGAGCCGCAGCGGCGGCGCCACTCAAACCTTCTGCCCGCTCCCGCTTTGGTTTCAGCTGCCCGACAAGTCCATGGCCAGCCTGGTCCGCTTTTACTACTCGTGGAAGAAAAGCCGCAACAGGAGCAGCCTGATGGAGCGACAGAGCCGCAAAGTCAAGAGGGAGCGAGACGACAGGTGAGGGAGCGCCGCCTCTGACCGCCGCTCGCCTCGGATCGCCGGCGGCGTCGAGTTGAAATGATTGTGTGCGTTTCAGCGACGACGAAAGTCAGGAGAATAACGGCAGCGATCCCGAGTCCGGTCACGTGAAAGAAGAAAGCAAGGAGGTCAGCCGAGTCGGCTCTCGGACATGCGGCCGACGCGCCCCCAATCGGGCCTCCTTCTCATGCGCGCGTGCCTTCGTTCCTGTTTTTAGGTGGGCTCCGCAACAGAGCGCTCCGAGGCAAAAAGTGCTGCTGGACTCAAAGTAAGTAAACGTGCAAACATCTTGTCATCGTCACACACACACACACACACACACTGACGTAGCCAATATTTGCTGCGTATCATGGAAACAAATTCGACAGCGGGCTCGATGTCAGATCAGAGGTCTTGGAAAGGGCTCAGGACGGGATTTGCATTTGCTGATAATTAAGGATGAAAAGAAGAACTCCGTTTCTCTTCAAAACGATGTCGTGAATAAAGATCGTGCAATTTTCGAGGCAGAACTAGTTTCTTCCACTAGGTGCTCGATGGCTGATTTAGAAAGTTCATTATCCTCAAGTAACTGTTTGCCAAAATGGTCACCGCCTCACGACGTTTTTTTTCTTTTTGGGCGTTCTGAATGCCGATGGGATTCGGCTGCTGTCTCCCGCGTCAACGTCCTTCTCAGTCTTTCTCTCTCTCTCTCTCTCGTGCCAGTCGTCTGGCGTCAAAGGTGCGCACCGGGCCAAGACCCGCCCCCCCAGAGGAATGTTCCTGAAGCAGGAGGACGTGGTCTCGCTGTCCACCTCGTGCGCTCACGGCGTCCTGCGGCAGTTGGACGCTCAACTGACCGCAGCCAAGCGACAGGTCGCCACGCCGCGGGCCCAAATAAATGTCTGGGTGTAACTGTGTCTTGAAATATGCACGTGTGTATGCGCGCGCGCACTTCAGGTCCAGAGCATCAAGCAGTCCAACAGCGTTCTCAAGGAGAAACTGGACTCTGGAGTGGACCAGTTCAGACAACCCGAGGTACCCGCCGAGTACAATCATTGATCCTCCTAACAAGAAGAAGATTGTATTTTAATGACGGCTTGTGCCTGCGTGCGTGTCGCAAGGTGAGCGGTAAAGTGAACGGTCGCTGGAGTTCAGACGAGCAGCTTCTGGCCGTTCAAGGTAAACCGCCTCGTTTGGGTCTGGCTTTCTGACGCTCGCCTCTCATTGGCCCGCCCTCGCCATTGACAGCCATCAGGAAGTACGGGCGCGACTACCAGGCCATCTCCGACGTGATCGGCAACAAGTCGGTGGTGCAGGTGAAGAACTTCCTGGTCAACTACCGGCGCCGCTTCAACCTGGATCAGGTGCTGCAGGAATGGGAGGCGGAGAATGGGGTGGAAGGCGGAGCCGCCGTGCCCGACGACGACAAGATGGATGCGCCGGGTCCGGCCGAGGACGACGCAGGTGAGCCAATTTCACGACGTGGCTAAAACTTGAAGGCCGCTTGATTGCCACTTAGTGCCGCTATGATCAAGCTTTGTAATGACCTGCAGATTCCACAAGATGGTGGTAAAACACCACTTCTGTCTAAATGAAGCTCTTCACCTCATTGCAACATAGGACACCACGCCAGACTTTGCATTTAGCCCTCCTTCACTCACTCAGCTCTCTGTGCTCAACAGATGACCACCTGACTCCGCCCCCTGCAGACCTCTGACCACGGTGGACTCTGCCCACCTCCATGTGTGGACATTTGACTCCGCCCCTTACTTTGCATTTGCGGGTGGGAGAATGGTTTCAATTTTCCATGTGAAGTTTATCTTGTTGCCATGGCAAAATAATTTTTCTAGCCTAAATGGACCTGCCATAGTTTGATTAAATCCATCTGAAAGCATTTCACCTCTCGTTTTGATTTTCTTAATTTTTCTGGCGAATGTATGATGAAGTGAGGTTGTCTGTTCCCATGGTTACCTGAAGTTGCTTCACTAACTAATGTTCAGAAGCTAAAAGGACCTGCCATAGTTTTCTGAAATCAACCTGAAATACATTGGCAGCCAATCAGAACATCTCATGATGACGATGATGTATCATGTTGCCACGGTTACCTGAAGTTCATTTGCGAAAAAGATTTTTTTGATAAAAGCACCTTCGTTTTCTTAAATCAGCTGGAAGATGCCGCACCGTTTTTTTTTTTTTTTTTGTTTGCAGACAATCCGAATGTCTTCTGATGGCGTCCTGTCAATTGTTACCAAGGTTACCTGGTTTGGAAAATTCCGTTTAGAAAGTTAAACCGACTGTATTTTAACAAAATAAACCTGAAAAGCAGCTCTTCTATGTACTATTGTACGCGGCCAATGGGAATGTCTCTGTGTGTGCTGTTGCCATGGGCACCTGAGGTCGATTTGCAGAATATTTTTTTAAAAGGACCTGCTTTATTCAAAATGGAACTTCGTGATGTCATGTCTGTTATTATGATTACCTGGTTAGCAGCATAATTTTGGATGATTAGTTTATGATTGTGTACTGATGAGTTATGTCATATGTTGCCATGCGATACCTCTTTTGGAAAACAAAATCAGTTCAAGATCCGGCCGTGCGTTTATTAATTCAACCTGATTTGTGGCTCATTGGGTGAACACAATTGTAGCCAATCACAACGTCTCCTGATGACATCACCTCCAGGCGATCGCGAGGGATAGAAAATATTAATTTTAAAAAAAGCTGAAATGGAAATAAACGAGATAAATAAGCTACGCCTGTTTTGTATTAATAAAACGCTACATCATTTTGAAAAAAAAAAAAAAACGCGGAAAAAAAGAGGCCGAGCTCGCGCAATCGAAGTGGGGACGGCGCCCCCTGGAGGCCCCGAAGGCGGGGGATTTCCTGGGCGGAAGCGGCGGAGGCGGAGGGGGTTTCCACTGGTGACCCGAGCACCGTACCTCGCCGCAGTGCCCCGGACACCGCTGCCGGAGCGCCGTACCATTCGCGACTATTCCCGGCCCAGCAGAGAAGAATAGCGGCGAGGAGAGCAGAGGAAGCGTCGTATGAGGACCATGAAGAGGCGAGCGACAGGTCGGCGGTTCGAGTCCCGCAGAGAGGCGCTGAGGAGCGGCTGAGCTGATTCATGTGAGTCGGCACACAAGCGCCTCGAAGCTTGGTTTGCTCTGGGTGGTGGTGGTTGTTTTTTTTTTTTTTTTTTACGTGACACAGCTGTTGAGCACGTCGTGGACTGTTAACTGTGCGGGTGAAGCGTTTCCCACGTTCAATGAGCTTGAATCGGGAGAAGAGAAGCTCCAGGCTAACCGCGTTAGCATGAGCAGCAGCCAGTAAACAGAAGCCCTCTCAGACGTGATTAATCGAACTCTGAGCGAAAGTGAAATCAAGACGCGCAATGGAAAGAAAGAACACCGCTGGAGCGTTTATTCTATCACCCCTATTACCTTTTTAAAATCTATATACGAGTACGCTCTTTGTCCTCACTCGTAATACAATAAAGTAGTATAACGACTGTCTTTCTTCAACATGTTTTCCACTGCTTGTGCCAGGTTTTGCATACTAGTTCGTCATGACAATATGGATTTTTTTTCGGCCGATGCCAGTTGCGATATTTGGCTAAATAAATAAATAGATGGATAAATACATAAATTAAAATCCTGTAACCCATTAATGGGCCGACGATTTAAAGAAATGTGTATCCAGTGGGTTACATGAAAACTATTTTAATAATCGAGTCATCGTTCCGAGCGAGCCATTGTTCGACTTCAACTGGTCCAAATCCTCTGGTTGCACCCCCTCAACAGTTTATTATTCAGATTTCTGTCAGCCTTCATGAAAGCAGGCTGATTGCATTTCATAAAGATGAACCATTTGTAGAATTGGGAAATTGCTTTTGTAATCCAGTTTAATGGCAAATAAAATTGTGTCCGATGAATCAGTGGGATAATCAATTCTAAGAATATTTGATAGTGTAAGCCCTCGATAAAATAATTTCTTTTTTTTTTTTGGGTGCCTTAACGCAGTGTTTCTCAAGCAGATGAGCTATGATAATGTATTTCCACGAAATAAATATTCTCAGTCATTTCCTAATCCCAAGCGTTCCATCCATTCTTGATCCGAACCGCTTATCCTCATCGTCTTAAATTTTTTATAGATGGCACAATCACAGAAGGCGCGTGTCAAGCTGCCCTCGTGGCTCTGAATATTGCTCCTGTTCAGGGTTTTACTCCAGATAGCTAAAGACAGAAGAAACCAAGGCTTGAGGATGCCAGCGACAAAAATCAATTACAGCCGCAGCATTTGACTGTTTTACAAGAGGAGTGAAGTTACTGGCAAACATGTTCTTCGCATGATGCCCGTTGTGACGCCTTTCTTTCTTTTCGTTGCCGTGGAGTGACGGCTTCAAAAATAAAAAACAGGGACCCATTCCTCACATGTCAAAACATGTCATCTTTGACACAGTTGTATTTGTATTTGACCACCGACAGAGAGAGACTTTTCTTTTTTTTTTCTGTCTTGGTCGTCGTCGTTTTTCAAAAATTCCCCGGATGCAAAGTTTCCTCTCAAGAAATGAGTGTCCACGGTCACGCCGGGGCTGAAACTTGGGCGAAATCTTTGCCCTTCTGGTTGTTGAAGATTTTACAATCAAACCGGTCTTCACAGGAAAGATGCTCATTCGATTGAACGCAGTCGGAGCTCCCTCTAGTGGACAAAGGCTGCAAGGACATCATTTGGAATGACTCCCAACACTGAGCGCCATTTGACGACCGCGTTTGTTTGCGGTGTGCGCGTGCAGGTCATGTCAGCCGGACGCAACGTTGACGGGAGGGAGGTGCAGGTTCCCCTCCAGCAGGCGGCGCCCTCCCTCATTCCGCCCCTGTCTGCTGCCCCTCCCATCACCCCGCTTCCCACCCGGCCGGCCAATCCCTGGCCTCCGAGCGACTCTTCGCAAGGTGATTACGCCAACCGTGACCTCGTTGTGATACCAACGCGTGTCTGTGTGTGTATGACAACATGACGTTTGCCATTGGCGCGTTGGTATGATGCGATGACATCCGATGTGTGTGTGTGTGTGTGTGTGTGTGTGCGCGTGTGTGTGTGCGTGCGTGTGTGCGTGCGTGTGTGCGTGCGTGTGTGGCGTTTAGGCGCGGCGGCGGGCTTCTTGCCGCTGGACGGCGGCTTCAAGGATCACTTTGTGGACGTCCCCGAGGAGAAATATCTGTGCGAGTCCTGCCGACTGGTCCTGTGTCAGCCCCGGCAGACCGAGTGCGGACATCGCTTCTGTCAGACCTGCATTGCGCACATACTCAGGTGATATTCGGGCACGCGCACGCACGCAAATACGCGAGCGACCGCTATTAATGTGCATCTGTTTGTGCGTGTGCGCGCTGCAGCCGCCCCAACCCCGTGTGCCCGGCCGATATGGAGCCCCTGTTCAGCAACAAGGTGAGAGCACGTGAAGACGCGAATGGATGACGCCCGATTGCCGGCTAATCAGTAGCGACGGCTATCGATTTTTTTCTGCATCAGATCTTCCGCGACGTCTGCTGCCATCGGGAAATCCTGGCGCTGAAGGTGTTCTGTCGCGCCGAGGCCAAAGGCTGTCAGGAGCAGATGAGCCTGCAGCAGATGCCCGTGAGCCCGACGCCGCCCCCCCAGATGGCGCTCACCGACCTGCAGGTCAGCGCCCTTTCGCCGACCTTACTATCCCAGCCGTGTGGGATGCTAAGCTGCCGACCGAGCGTTTGTGTGTTTGTGCGTCAGAAACACAAGGAGACGGTGTGTCCGGCCTTCCCGGTGTCGTGTCCGAACCTTTGCTCCTTCTCGTCGCTGCCGCGGAGCGAGGTAACCCAAAGTCCTCACGCGAGCTCGCTCGACCCGCGTTTGCGTCACGTCACGTCATTGACTCCCTTCTCGCGTCCCACAAAAAGCAAATCTTGAAGGTGTGTTGGATTAGCGGGATAGCGCTCTCCTAAATTGTGCTTTATCAAAGCAGATGATAAAAACATCATTCAATAGCGTCATTGACTCCCTTCTAGCGTCCCACAAAAAGCAAATCTTGAAGGTGCGTTGGATTAGCGGGATAGCGCTCTCCTAAATTGTGCTTTATCAAAGCAGATGATAAAAACATCATTCAATAGAATCGTGAGGGCGGCTCCCGTCGTGGTTGGATGGAAAGAATGAAACACTTTCGTATCAGGATCATTCAATGGGTGATGTGTTCTTTCGTCTGCCGTGCGTCTTGGCCACCGGGGGCAGTATAATACCTACAGACAAATCACACATGGATTTGTTGATGAATGATGATGAATTGTTTTTTGCAGAGGATAAAGAATATACGCCTCCGAGTATTGTTGAATGTTGTCTACCGCATGTCCCAATAGAAGTTGTTTCAAAATTTTCAACGACTGCCGTTATTGCTGCTAGTTTTGTCCGCCTGCAAATGGTGTTTTGCGGCGTGTGTTAGCATTCAGCTAGCAGACGCTCCCGAATGCGGCTTTTGTTCAATACACCTTTAATTCTCTCTGTTGCAGTTTAGCTTGAAAGTAATTTTTGAGTGGCGTTTGCTTTCGCTCTTCCCTCCGCCGCACCTGCGTTGGTGCGTCTCCGCGGCCGTGCTCGCGTGCGCTCGTACCGACGTGCGGCTTTTTCTTCCAGCTGGCCAGTCACCAGCACGAGTGCCCGAAAGCTCAGGTCAGCTGTCCCTTCCAGCGCTACGGTTGCACCTATCGGGTAACTCCGCCTCTGGCGCCATCTTGTTTTGTCGCTTCTGCCCACCTGGTGTTAATCAAAAGTGTGTGTGTGCGCGCGCAGGCGTTGAGCCAGGAGGTCCGGCAACATGAAGCCGCAAGTGCCGGCGATCACCTGAGGATGATGATGCTGAAGAACGTCTCCTTGGAGAGCAAGGTAGCATCTCCGTCATCCTCCTCCTCCTCCTCATCATCACTCCTCACCTTTTTTTGCAGAGGAAACTTCAGCACTTTGCGCTTACGTGTCCGTGTGTGTGTGTGCGTAGGTGGAGGAGGTGAAGGGTGAGTTATTGGACAAGTGCAAAGCCGTCCCTCTGGTGAGCTCTCGTCTTTGCGAGGCTGAGAAGCACAACGGCGAGCTGAGGGACAAGCACAGGCACATGGAGCAGAAGGTGGCCTCCATGCAGGTCGGCATGCACGCAAACACGCACGCACACACTTACGCACACACTCCGGTAGCTGCCTGGAGGTCTTTCTCGCTCCTCTTGACTTCTAATTTACAATAAATCCACTCTCCAAAACAACAACAAAAAAAGACAGTGTTTACTGTCTACAAGTTGTAGATCTTGGCAACTCCTCGTCACTCAACCACATGAAGTCGCTCTGGAACAGGTCGATCAATGGCTCATGTTTGCACCGCCTCCGGCCCCCGCACTCTTTGTGTCCGCCGTCTTTGTAGAAGGTGATGAGCGCCCACTCGGAGAAGCTCCTGGAGATCGAGCTGGGGCTGCGCGCTCTGGCCTCGCTGCCGGAGGAGCTGGAAAAGGTCCGGCTGTCGCTGGACGCCGTCCGCAGCAGGCTGGGCGCGCTCGAGCAGGGAGGACGCTCCGCCGCAGGAACCGTCACGCTGGGTCAGCGCTGACAAATTTGGGAGAGCCGACCACCTTGCAGAAGTCTCTTACCGTCTATGTGGTTTTTTTTTTTTTTTTTTTTTTTTTGGCGCGCAGCCTCGCTGGAGACTCAGCAGAACCGGCAGGGCGACATGCTGAGCGTCCACGACATCCGTTTGGCCGACATGGACCTCCGCTTCCAGGTGCTGGAGACGGCCAGCTACAACGGGACGCTGATCTGGAAGATCCGCGACTACAAGCGGCGGAAACAGGAAGCGGTGGCGGCCAAGACCTTGTCGCTCTACTCGCAGCCCTTCTACACGGGATACTTTGGCTACAAGATGTGCGCCCGCGTCTACCTGAACGGCGACGGCATGGGCAAGGGCACCCACCTGTCGCTGTTCTTCGTCGTCATGCGCGGCGAGTACGACGCGCTCCTACCGTGGCCGTTCAAACAGAAGGTACTGCCAACCCAGACGCCTCTGCGCGTCCGTGTGTGTGTGTGTGTGTGTAGGTCAGCCGTCAGGAGCGGATCGCTTATTCCGTCGATTAATGGCGAAATCGGAAGGATTTGCGTCCAAAATGTGTACGTTGCAACAGGAATTGCAGCCGGAATCCGACAACATATCATCGCTATGGCGACCGCAGCCAGGGAGAACCCGGCTGACGTATTTCATTGCTTGCGCGCGGTATCATGACTTGCTAACAGTTAGCATCCTTAAGTCGCGGTTTTCAAAGCACCAGAACACGACTACATCAAACGCACGATCATCCAAAGCGGAGCCTTCATGTTGCGCGCGTGCGTGTCAGGTGACCCTGATGCTGATGGACCAGGGTCCGGCGCGCAAGCACCTGGTCGACGCCTTCAAGCCGGACCCCAACAGCAGCAGCTTCCGCCGCCCCGCCGCCGAGATGAACATCGCCTCCGGGTGTCCGCTCTTCGTCTCCCAGAGCGTCCTGGAGTCCGCCAGCTACACCAAGGACGACAACATCTTCATTAAGGTGCCGCGCGCCCGCCGCAACGATCACTCGCCAATCGGCGTGCTCTGACGTCGCTCAGCCCCGCCCACTTTGCTAATTCTTCTCCAAGACATTAAAGTACAAAAACAAAAACACCAGACAAAGGAGAAATGAAGTCAGAGGGCAGTTTTTGTACAAAACCTTCCGGCTCTTGCTCGAAAGCAAAAAAAAAAAAAAAAAGTCAGAGAAAGCCTACTAAAACATCACAACTTTATTTGCCATTAATCAGAAGCACTTTAAATGGTGGCCCATTGTTGCTGACTGATATTTCACATGAGTTTGAATGGGATTGGTTAATTCAGAACACAGCCACACACCCCAAGCAGAGCGAGCGTGTGCACACTTTTGCAACCTTATTTTGCGATTATCGATCACCAGAAAGTGGCAATTGAACGGGGGTGCTTAGACTTTTGATATCCACTGTACATACCGTCCATGCATGCAGTGGTCTGACATTGCGTGTCGTTAGGTTACCGTGGATACTTCCGACCTTCCTGATCCATGACCGTGTGCCGTGCCACTCGGGCCACGCCCACCCGGCGACGGCGGAGGAGGAGCCCGGTCCAGGTGACCGATGGCGGGAGGGCGTGTCTTCTTCTTCTGATTGGCTGCATGTTTGCGGGCGCCGGTGTGCGCGTGCGCGATGACTCTCGCCAGGCCGTCGCGGTCGCCGCCAGTTATTGATGCTGTGCATCGAGCTTGACTTCCCGATTGGCAAGGCATGCTGGGAAATCCACGCCCGGAGCCGAGGAAAGCAGCGTTGGCGTGGGAGCGCCCTCGACGTGGATGTCGGATGCGTGGAGGTGGGACGTGAACGTTCCGGAGCCGAGGAAAGCCGCGTTGGCGTGGGAGCGTCCTCGACGTGTGGATGTCGGATGCGTGGAGGTGGGACGTGAACGTGGAAGTCAGGCGTGTGGACGTTCCGCTATGGACCCGCTGACTTCTTCTGTAGGACTTTTTTTCACTCCACAAGTCCAAATGACAGGAAAGACTTGCTAGTGTTGTTTTCGTTGTTGTGGTCGGTGGGAATAAATTTTCCTTTTTTTCCACAATGTGTTTTCACGGCGTGCAATTCCAGCATTGGTCAACAACGGTCATTTCACATTGTTCAGCATACCTCATTTAAGTCGACTGCAGTGTTTGGAAGAAGCGGTTCACTCAACGTCAAAGAGAAAGGTGGAATTGAAATTGTGGAATTGAAGTCATTTCAATACGGAATTAAAGTCGTAAGGCAAAATGTAATTAAAATGGTGGACGGACAATACAACAAAACGTCGAATTAAACGTCATATTTTTTTTAACCTTTATCCATTGCAACTGAAAACTGAAACACGCAATTAGAAGTCTTGGAACATTTGAGAATTGCAAATTGAATGTTAGCTCACTCCAGTCCAGCAGGTGGCGGCCTTGCATTTGAAGCTAGCCAAAAAAATGAAGGCGAAGCAACAGCAGCTGCAAAGGAACAAGATAGACAGGAATGGAAAGGAGGCACTCGAGGGTTGCCTGTAAACGTTCTCGCTTGTGGTTCTCCGCGTCATCAACAAGCTTCCATTTGTGGGATTGAAGGCAAAAAGCGTGACGAATCGTCTCACTCGTCGCCACTGTTCGCGGTGAGTTAACTTCGACACTTTGCACGTGAGCTAACGGGCTAACAACGCCAGGTGACACGCAAGGATGCACCATTTTGCATTTTAAATTTTGTATTGAAGGAGGACGTGTGTTTGAGCTCAACTGACGTAGTGTGACTATGTTAGGCGACTCGGGGAAAAGTTGCTGATTTTCAAATCAGACGTGACGCCCACCAACCAAAGGAGGAAGCCCAACATCCGGGTCCTCCGTGACGTTTCCGCCATGTTGTGATGGCGCGACACCTTTGCCACTGCGTGCTCGAACCCCGATAGAAACTTGTGTAGTCCCAGTTCAACCCCACCCCCATTTTATTTAATATTCTAAAATGCCTTTCTGATTTTTTTTTCTCAGTCAAGCCCCAATTTAGTCCCGGGTGAGGAAAAAAAATTCCCGGAGGCATGCCTGCCTAAAAACATCAATGTTTTGTTGAGTTTTTGAGAGATTTAAAAAAAAAGCACTGGTTTGTATAAAACAATGAAGGAGAACGTAAAGAAATATACTGGTACCACGTATTAAACTTTCTCAAGAACCCCGTGCCACAATGTGTGCTGGGAGACTTGTTGCTCCTTCGACGTCATCAACGGGAGGAGCTTGGTCGTCATGTCGTCAGCTGATGGTACCACGTATTAAATTAAACTTTCTCAAGAACACTGTGCCACAATGTGTGCTGGGAGACTTGGGAGACTTGTTGCTCCTTCGACGTCTTCAACGGGAGGAGCTTGGTCGTCATGTCGTCAGCTGTCGAACCTCAGCGCATATTCAAAATGCTTCTTGGTTGATTTGAGCTCTCCTGTTCTGCGATTGGCCGGCCACTGTGACTGAAGATCATGTGACCCAGACAGGTTAGCAACTATTTCGTTTTGTTTCTCTTCCCAGATGCTAAATCTTGTACTGCGACGCGTGTCACATGTCAGGCGCTACTGTCGCAACAACTTACCCGTTCTCACACTGTACACCAAGGTAACGTGCATGCTAATGCTAACACACCCAACCCTTACCCTTGACCGTGTGCACGCTCCATCCCACTGTTGTTTCCATCCATAAGGCACGGAGCGAAATGGAAATGGCCCAACAATTCTGCTTTTTCTCGCCATCGGGAGAAGTGAAGCCACTGGGCGGGCATTTAACCTAGCCGCTCGCGAATAAGCCCGCTTAATTTGTACTGTATATGTTGCTCTATGTGACTCGCTGTTGTTTTGCAGCTTTTCGCGGACCATTTGCGGACTTAAAAAAAATAATAAAAAAAATTACCTGTTTATGTTAATTGGTCGCTACTTTGCGGATTTTCGTTTATCGCGGGTGGTTTTGGTCCCCATTAACCGCGATAAACGAGGGATTACTGTGCTGTATGGCATACAGTTGGGAGAAGCGCTACGTGCATCTGGAGAAATGTAATTTTCAATTTTCTCTTATAAGGTGTGTCTCTGAGTGCTACTCCAAGATTCAACTGCATTTAGTTGTCAGAACCGTCAACAATGAAATGACAAGAAAGCCCATCCCGTGTAGGTCACGATTCTGAGATAATGTTCTCTGACCAGTCGATGCAAACAGAAAAGTTTATTCCTTAAGAGCCTCTCATTACGCCATGCAGGTGTAAAACACGCACTGATAACAGGCTTTTCGGCAAAAAACAAAAAAAAAGAAACAGAAGCTGTCACGACCAATGGCAACGTAAGACGGCTGCCCCTGGCTTCAGCCGCAAGGGACTAGTGATAGTACATTCAAATACGGATGGGCTATCAAGAGGTAACCATCACCCCCATTTGACAGCTACAAGTCGACCAACTCGTTTGTGTCGATTACTGGTTCACGCCCACGGTTTGGAAGCCCAAAGTTCAAATTTGTCGTTCGACTACATCAAAAACGGAGTGCCCGAGCACACACACACTGTAAGACACATGCTAATGCGAATGGATTGCTAATGCTAAGCTTGTATGATGCCAACGCTCACGTGCTAATGCTAACCGCTTCTCTTTTTAGTTTTCACTTAGTTCATCAAGGTAGCGTATAAGACACATGCTAATGCTAATGATTTGCTAATGTTACAGTGTATTATACAGCAGGAGCATGTTAATGCTAACCGTTTATTTTGGGAGTGCAGTTATGTCGCCCGTCTGTCGTGAGTGAAAACAAACCATGGCGGCTTTGTTTTGAATTTTAACGCGGTAGTTTGCTCGTGTTGCTAAAGGTGTTAATTCAGCAGTCAAGAACGCCGATGCCAGGAAGCTAACTTCGGTATTTTGTTTGTAGGATCCGTGTCCTCTGTGCGATGAAGCCAAAGAAGCACTGCAGCCACTCAAACATAAAGTGAGTGGTCACAAATAACCGAATGGATGAGCGGCCGGGCACTGATGTTTGTCGCCCGTGCGCACGTCAGTTTGTCCTACGGCAGGTCGACATCAGTCGTCCGGAGAACCGAGCGTGGCGAGTCAAGTACAAGTGGGACATTCCCGTCTTCCACCTGAACGGTCGCTTTGTCATGAAGCACCGCGTGGACGTCAAGTTGCTCAACAAACTGCTGGATGACCAATCATCGAAAAACAATGAATGAATTCACAAATAAACACGTGAAGATAAATTGGTCCACTCCGTGCGTCTTTCATGTTTTTTAGCCACCAAATATTGTTGCCGTGATTGACAGCAGATCCGGTGAGCTCATCAATATTTCAGCCAGTGTATTGGCGTGTGTGTGCGTGTGTTGCCATGGCAATGGCTGTCATCGGCCATGGCGTCTCGGGTTAAAGCGGCGGACGTTCAATTGGCGGTGCAGAAAGCCAAAAAGAAGATGTGTCGCCTCCGGCTGCAGCTGCTGCGCCAGTAAGACATTTCCGCCATCATCATTTGTCACTCGTTCAGTCAGCGGCGAGATGTGACCGAGGTACGAATGGCTGTTTTCAAGTGCTCTTGAGAAAAAAGCGCCTTGACTTTAGCCGTGCGTGCGTGTGTGTGTGTATATGTAAGTGTATGTATGCACACACATATACAAGGTCCTCTAGAAAATGGACAGCGGGCATAGTTTGGACACCACTACATTTTCAAATTTGTTTTTGACGTGTAACTAAATACTAAAGCAATAATCATGACTTAAAATCAGTGAGTCCGGGTGAGTCCCTGTCGGGCCCAACAATGTGTCCACTCCGCAAATTGATATCCTCACGCTCAACGCCAGGTTGCTCTTAGCATTTTTTTTTCTCCAGAGTCCCAGAGAGTTCAGAACAGTCAACATGGACACCAGGCAAAGAACTCCGAGACTCTCTGGTGGACATGTACTCAGGTACACAACTACACGACAGATGCGCGTGGAGGGACGGACTGGGACAGCGGGACACCCGCACACAACTGAAACGCATCACACCGATCCTGCGGCACACGGCAACCGCACGCGTGTTAGCGCCGCGCGGCACATTCGCTGCCAAATCGGGCATTTCCGCAAATGCTGAAGGCTTCGCAGTTGTAGTGTGTCAGTTTGTCCACCGAGGGGCGCTCTGTCTCTTTACACTAGCAACAACGCAGAAAAGAAGACGACTCAGACAGAGATTGATCTATCTACGGGTGTGTGTGTCAGTGTCTCTCTCTGTGTATACACACACACACACACACACACACACACACACACACACACACACACTCACTGTCCTTGAGTCCACTGACCTGATCTGCTATTAAGTCCATCCATCCAAATACATACAGCATGTGGCTTGTCAATCACCACACATATTGATGAAAGCACTCGAAAGCACTCGACACACACACACACACACACACACACACACAGAGTAGATAAATGTAATGAAAAGGCTGCGAGTGAATTGGGGGGGGTCATGTGAAGCTTTTAATCTGCAGGCTGGGTGGTCTTCCCCCCCCCACACACACACTTGTATTTGTTGTGTTGTAGAGAAGGCTGCCTCGTATCTGTCTGCTTGCGCTGAATTGTTTCTGTGTGTGTGTGTGTGTGTGTGTGTGTGTGTGTGTGTGTGTGTGCTTGTTTGCGTGCGTGTGCGTCTCCCGTGTACAAAGTGTACTTGGTGCATCTTTTGATAGCCATACAAGCTCTCACTTCTACTCACATCTGTCACGTTCTATGTAAGCATGCGTTAGAGCACAAATCTCCGTACTGTAAGTGACTGTGTGTGTGTCTGAGAGAGACTTGGGGGGGGGGGGGACTGTTGGCAAGTCGAAATGAAGGCTCTTTCTGCTCACCTCATGAAGAATTGTGATGAGGAATGGCGATGAGAATTGGTCGAAATAATCCTCATTTTCATTTTGGTTATGATCGTGCAGCCCGCGGTTGTGCTTGGTGTCAAAACTTTGTTGTCGTGCGTCCCTTCGAGTGCGCGTTGGACTTCACGTGGCCTGAGTTCTCCTTTGACTTCAAATCTGTCAATACGCGTGTGCCGGTGCACCCGGAAGCGTGTTTTGTCGAGCAGACGTTGAGGTGCGTCGTCAAGCCGATCGGCGATCGATCGCCGGCGAGGGTTTGTTTGTGTCGGGCGAGAGGCGCGTGCTCTCCCGCGTGTTGATTGTGTGCGTGGTTCTCGCCGTCCTGTCGGTATGGAAATTCCGGGCGGCGGCGGCACGGCGGGAAAGATCAGAGCTGGATTGTCTTGGATTTGCGATGAAGCTTATTTAATCAGCACCACACCGTCATTAATATTCATGCAGTCAGCTGGAAAACACAGCAAACTTCCTGCGCCGCCACCGCACAAAATCTATTAATCAAGCTTAAAAAATTAATGGACTTTAGTTTCTATTACGCCGGGAAGAGAGGAGGGGGGCTCAGCGCCGCAACCCCCCGCCAGCTCCCCATTGGCTCGCAGAGATTGGACCCCCGATTGGCCTTTGCGTTTCGCCTTTTTTCCGCACATTTTTCCATCTTTGACGAGACTTCAAAGCGAGTGCGAAGCGTGAACGCTCATTTAGAAGGATTTAGACATCCTTCGCCAGCCCGAGGAAACTGTTCCCATTAATCACGGAGCCGCACGGACACTTTCAAAGTGACTTCAAAGTCCACAAGTCCATCCCCGCTCCCCGCGACCCCCCCCCACCCCCCCTCGCTTTCAAAGTCACGACCACAGCCGGGGATAAAACCGGTTCTCGGGTCAAAAGTCAAAACCGGGTTCAGAGCGGAGTGATAACTTTGACCGGGCATGAGAAGGGGCACTTTGATCGGAGACAAGAAGATAAGACAGAACGTTAGCGACTTTGACTAGAGACAAAACTAGGACCAGAAACCCCCCCTCTCCCAAAAAAGAGCCCCGAATGAGAATTCAATCCAGGAACGAGATCGGGTTTGGATCACCGAAAAGTCTGAGACGAGATGGGCCAGAAACATGGCCGATATTGGAGTGAGAGCCTCCACTGGGACAAAACTGCAGGCATGACCCAAAGAGCAGAGCAGAGTGAAACTTTGGACCTTGAGCGAGAGACAAGACGAGGGCCAGACTGAGCAATTGCACCGAAGACAAGACCAAGACCAAAGGGGAAATCTGGTCCAGGTGAAGGGCTGGGGCCAGACTGAGGACTTTGACCAGAGACAAAACCAGCGACCGGATTGCAAAGTTGATCTGGAGTAAAGACCAGCAACAGATTGAGGCCTTTGACTGAAGACAAGTCCCCGATCCGGGACTCAGGCAGGGTACAGAGTGCCGAGCTGAGCTCTGATGGGCAACGATTGCTCCATGTTGTCAGATAACCCTCAAGTGACCGAGGAACTGCGACAGCGGCTTCCTTCGCCCGCTCAGCGGTCCGGCGCCGAACCACCCGCCGACCTTGTGGGTAAGAAACCTTTCACCGGAACATTTTGCCAATCTTTGTCCATTTCGTTTCTGTTTTTTGTCTCAGTCCTGAAGGTCCCCCCGGTGGCACCCTGGACTGGCGCCACCCCTCCTCCGGCCCACTGGCGAACGCCTTACCCGGCGTCCTCCTGAACGTCGGCAGGCGCCGCGGACATGGAGGCGGACTTTTCGGCCACTGGATGCTCTCCGTCGGGTCCTGAGACCTGCGGGGGTTCTGGTGGTCCCTCAGCGGGAGGGCTCCTAGTCAGCAGGTTATCCAACGCAACGGCCAAGCGCTAAAGGGGGCGCTCACGGGGCACCACGGACCTCTATTTCACCGGACTAACGATGTCGCGTATTCACCTGAGCGCCGGTGGCCATCTTACGTTGCCACTCGCTAAGCGCGGCGAACTTGAGCGCGTTGATTTCTCTGCTGCCTTTTCACGTCTTTTTGCTGTCTCGACTGCCCTGCGTGCACATTTCGTCGGTAAGAATGCCACGTAAAATTTCCTTCTTATTACGTCTCTCTGAGTGCTACTCGAAGATTCGTCTTCGAACGGCGTTTTCAGCCGAATCCCAACAGTCGGGGTGGGTCACGGTGGCAACGCAAGATGGCTGACCTCTGACTTCACCTGCGAGGGGCCAGCTGTTGGGCCATCACGATGAAATCCGGGCAGGGCGCTAATCGGGTGCTAACAGCGCGCCAGTTTGCAGGTCAACCGCTACACTGGATGCTAACAGGGTGCTAAACTGTCCATGTTGCCTCTGAAGGAGGGGGGGGGGGGGTTCGAGAGAGAGAGAGACACACACAAGACGCGAAAGATCCCACCCAATCCAAACAATAACATGACCACAATCACGGGAGCGAAGCGCTCATATTGAAAATTGCTGGCAGGCTTATTAGACGCTTGATTAAACTTTCTTCTTTCCGGCGTCGCCGTGACCTATTAAACGGGAGATTTGATGAGCCGCGCGCCCAAAATAGGAGAAGTCAAAGTTAGATTAGAAACACTTGATATTAGAAACGCTCAATTAGCATGGCGGCCATGTTATTTCTCCACTTTATTACGGCAAGAAGCTGCAGCCTGACCTTTCAGGCGAGACGAGAACCCGCTCGCCGCCGCTATTATCGAAGACGACGGACGGCACTCCTCCTCCGCCGCGCCGCCTCCCGTCTTGTCTTGCGAGCGCTGACAGCGTGCTAGCCGGACGCCGGCACGCGACCTGAGCGCTAACCGCATGCTAGCGGGCCTCTGACGGGCGGGCGGGCGGGCGCGTCACGGGAAGCGCCGTCTTCTCCTCTCGTCCGCGTGCTCAGCTGACTAAACCTGTCGTGTCCCCCCGGCAGCCATCGGGACGCGACAACCTACGGTCAAGCCCCGCCTCCGGACGCCGACAAGAAGGTGTCCCTGCTACTCCGAGAGTTGGATGCGCTGAGAGACGCCAATAAGAAGGTTTGAAGGCTCCGCACGCCACACGCAGAGTCGAGAGAAACGCTTGACTGAGCGCCCCGCGGCGAGCCCGCCAAAACCCAACTCTGCGTTTGTGAAAACCCGACCTCGCCTCCAGAGACAACAGAATCCGACACTTTATGAAGTATTCGCGGGCAAACATTTCACACCCGACCCTGCATACACGAACGGCCGCTTCGGCGTCAATAAACACCTGAACCGCCCCCCCATTAGCATTACCTGAGCAAACCACTGCGTCGATGAAAACCCAACTCGCTGTACGTGAACAACTGTCAATGAACACCCGACTCCGCGGACGGCTAACCCCCGCATCCCCGAACACCCGACTTTTATTTCAGTTGCTGGAGCAGCTGAGCCTGAAGGAGGAGGAGCTACAGAGGAAGGAGGCGGAGCCGATGGCCGACACCAAGCGGGCCCAAGACTGGGAGGCGCCTTCTGGTGAGCGCGGCCCCACAGCGAAAAACGACGGCCTGGCCAGACGTCGTCGTCACTGTGAATTTTTGCCCCTCTCGTCCCGTCAGCGTTCTTGGACGAGTTGTTGAGCGCCCGCAAGACCCGAGACGAGGCCATGATGTCGCGAGTCCTGATGGCCAACGAGGAGCGAGATGAGGCGTTGCGCCACGTGGCGAGACTGCAGCAGGCTGCCAAGTAAACACGCACACCAGAAGCACTTTCGTATTTCACAATCCAATTGATACGTGTCACGGGGTCACTCGTGTGATGGTCAGGCCATTTAGGCCATTGTGACGAATCACACGACGGCGCTACGTGTTTTCCGGTGGATGCCTTTCAAAATAAAAGGCCCTATCGGAGGCACACATGAGCCCACAGCTCACATGCACGCACAGAACGCAAGTGTGAGTCCTGTAATTGACGAAGGTGTTTTGGTCCCGTGCGACTGTCGGATTCCTTTCAAAATAGCAAAGTTTTCAAAATAAAAGTCCTATATGGGATACAGATATGGTGTGTGTGCCTCTTGAATGACAGGTGATGTCATCCAGGGTGGCGAACCCTTTTGCAAAGTTTTTCCAAATCAAAGTCTTTTGAAAAGCAGCCATTTAGGCGATCACTCGAAATGCGAGTTAGCATTGTTAGCTTGCAGACTTGACTTTGCTCATGTGTGCCAGTCACGTGACTGACATGGCTGCCCTTCAAATTAAAATTGTTTTCCCAAGCAACGATTATTTTTTATTTTTTTGGGTGATGGCTTCACTTCTTGTTTTAAAATAAAGTGGATTTGCCACTCAAATATTCCAAATAGTTTATTTGCGCCGAGCGCGCCGCCGCCGCCAATTCTTGTTCATAAGCTGTGAAATGAGCTCTCGTCAGCCGAGGAGCCGCCAAATAGACACGCAAACCTAATTAGAGATTAAAGCCCCCCCCCCTCCAGCCCCCCACGCTCACAAGCGCATAGCCCCGACACACACACACACCCGAAGATACACGCGAAATTCCCCCCAGCCCAGGATGAGGGGGTGATTGATATGGCGGCCGCAATCCTTTTTATGAGGGAGCGAATATGGACGATCATGTTCCATCTGTCAGGGCTATGTGTCTGTGTCTGTGTGTGTGTGTGTGTGTGTGTGTGTGTGTGTGTGTGTCTACTGTATGTGTGTATCTGTTAGCACACTTGTGTTTTGGGAGGGGGGGGGGATAATTTTCTGATAATTGTGTGACGTCTGTGAAAAGTGTTTGCGTCAAATTGTTCCGCCGCAATTTGACGCACGGCAACTTTTTCCAAAATGAGAACTTAATTGTCGCTCGCACTCTTGATCCTCGTAATGGCGGCGGCTGAGTGCGTGCGTGTGTGCGTGCGTGTGCGCGCGCGTGTGCGTGAGGCGAGCTGCCGAGCCGTAAGCGCGGTGTTAGAGGAGCTTTATTGGAGGCGGCTGGTCTTTCATTACCTGCTGTTCCCCGCAGAGCTGCGCCGCGTCGGCCATCTTATTACAGTTTATTACAGCAAAACAGCGCCGGGCTCAATGAAGAACTTCCCCGGAGGGGGGACGGCGGATCGTAATCTTAGCGCCTTCGCATCCGTCGGCCGAAGCGCCAAAAACGTACAAGGGAAAAAAAAAGCCCATCAAGGTCCATCAAGAACCAAGAAAAAGCTCCAAGAACTGTCATGAACCAACAAGAATGGAGACAGACCCCCCCCAAGACAAGTTGCAAGAACCTTTCAGCATCACCAGCAACCCACGAGAGCCGACGCCACCACATACAAGCCCTCGAGAACCTCAAATGTAAGAACCGAAATGAACTCAACGGGGCACCGCCAAGATCCAACAACAATCATGAGAATCCGGAAGAACCGACGAGAACCTTTGACAAACGGGGGACCAATTCCAGAACCAACGCAAACATAAGAAGCGCAATGAATGAAACGACGAGCGCCACGAGCTCACAATACGCACGGAGAACGATTCCGGAGCTCTGGGAACCAAAGTTGAGCTCCAAAAAGGAAGATGCTGCCAAAATGCGAGCAAGAGCCAACGAGAACATGCTAGCGAGAAACGAGAAGAAGCGCCGAGCAGAAAGCAAGCGAGCGAGCGAACGCGAAGGGCCGAGATCCGTCATGGATGGACGAGAACAATCGACAGCCGGCGCAAACATACGCCAACCCAAGTGGACGCAAATGTGCGAGAACACCCGATATGCGACAAGAACCCCCCCCCCACCGAAAAAAAAAACAAACAAAACCACCGAAAACCAGTAGGAAGCTAGCAGGAGGCCGCAACCGAGATCCCAAAAGACGCAACATGAACAATCCATTGCGAGAGCTGGGGGGTCAAGGGGGGGGGGGGGCGCTGCGTTCATGCACAGCAATCCTCTGTTTCCCTTTCGCCAAAATCTATTTTCAAAAATGGAATGAAAAAAAAAAGCAGGTCGGTTTGTCCTCACGTGTGTGTGTGTGTGTGTGTGTGTGTGTGTGTGTGTGTGTGTGTGTGTGTGTGCGTGTGCGCGCG